CGGGTAAGTAGTGGTGCCAGTGGATACATTACCCTCAGAATCTGTGGTAGTGAAAGTGGATACTTCCAATGATTCCTCAGATGATCTGGAGGTGTGCTCAACTGGGTAAGTAGTGGTGCCAGTGGACACATTACCCTCAGAATCTGTGGTAGTGAAAGTGGATACTTCCAATGATTCCTCAGATGATCTGGAGGTGTGCTCAACCGGGTAAGTAGTGGTGCCAGTGGACACATTACCCTCAGAATCTGTGGTAGTGAAAGTGGATACTTCCAATGATTCCTCAGATGATCTGGAGGTGTGCTCAACTGGGTAAGTAGTGGTGCCAGTGGACACATTACCCTCAGAATCTGTGGTAGTGAAAGTGGATACTTCCAATGATTCCTCAGATGATCTGGAGGTGTGCTCAACTGGGTAAGTAGTGGTGCCAGTGGACACATTACCCTCAGAATCTGTGGTAGTGAAAGTGGATACTTCCAATGATTCCTCAGATGATCTGGAGGTGTGCTCAACTGGGTAAGTAGTGGTACCTGTGGACACATTACCCTCAGAATCTGTGGTAGTGAAAGTGGATACTTCCAATGATTCCTCAGATGATCTGGAGGTGTGCTCAACTGGGTAAGTAGTGGTGCCAGTGGACACATTACCCTCAGAATCTGTGGTAGTGAAAGTGGATACTTCCAATGATTCCTCAGATGATCTGGAGGTGTGTTCAACTGGGTAAGTAGTGGTACCTGTGGACACATTACCCTCAGAATCTGTGGTAGTGAAAGTGGATACTTCCAATGATTCCTCAGATGATCTGGAGGTGTGCTCAACTGGGTAAGTAGTGGTACCTGTGGACACATTACCCTCAGAATCTGTGGTAGTGAAAGTGGATACTTCCAATGATTCCTCAGATGATCTGGAGGTGTGCTCAACTGGGTAAGTAGTGGTACCTGTGGACACATTACCCTCAGAATCTGTGGTAGTGAAAGTGGATACTTCCAATGATTCCTCAGATGATCTGGAGGTGTGCTCAACTGGGTAAGTAGTGGTACCTGTGGACACATTACCCTCAGAATCTGTGGTAGTGAAAGTGGATACTTCCAATGATTCCTCAGATGATCTGGAGGTGTGCTCAACTGGGTAAGTAGTGGTACCTGTGGACACATTACCCTCAGAATCTGTGGTAGTGAAAGTGGATACTTCCAATGATTCCTCAGATGATCTGGAGGTGTGCTCAACTGGGTAAGTAGTGGTGCCAGTGGACACATTACCTTCAGAATCTGTGGTAGTGAAAGTGGATACTTCCAATGATTCCTCAGATGATCTGGAGGTGTGCTCAACCGGGTAAGTAGTGGTGCCAGTGGATACATTACCCTCAGAATCTGTGGTAGTGAAAGTGGATACTTCCAATGATTCCTCAGATGATCTGGAGGTGTGCTCAACTGGGTAAGTAGTGGTGCCAGTGGACACATTACCCTCAGAATCTGTGGTAGTGAAAGTGGATACTTCCAATGATTCCTCAGATGATCTGGAGGTGTGCTCAACCGGGTAAGTAGTGGTGCCAGTGGACACATTACCCTCAGAATCTGTGGTAGTGAAAGTGGATACTTCCAATGATTCCTCAGATGATCTGGAGGTGTGCTCAACTGGGTAAGTAGTGGTGCCAGTGGACACATTACCCTCAGAATCTGTGGTAGTGAAAGTGGATACTTCCAATGATTCCTCAGATGATCTGGAGGTGTGCTCAACTGGGTAAGTAGTGGTGCCAGTGGACACATTACCCTCAGAATCTGTGGTAGTGAAAGTGGATACTTCCAATGATTCCTCAGATGATCTGGAGGTGTGCTCAACTGGGTAAGTAGTGGTACCTGTGGACACATTACCCTCAGAATCTGTGGTAGTGAAAGTGGATACTTCCAATGATTCCTCAGATGATCTGAAAGTGTGCTCAACTGGGTAAGTAGTGGTGCCAGTGGACACATTACCTTCAGAATCTGTGGTAGTGAAAGTGGATACTTCCAATGATTCCTCAGATGATCTGGAGGTGTGCTCAACTGGGTAAGTAGTGGTACCTGTGGACACATTACCCTCAGAATCTGTGGTAGTGAAAGTGGATACTTCCAATGATCCCTCAGATGATCTGGAGGTGTGTTCAACTGGGTAAGTAGTGGTGCCAGTGGACACATTACCCTCAGAATCTGTGGTAGTGAAAGTGGATACTTCCAATGATTCCTCAGAAGATCTGGAGGTGTCTTCAACTGGGTAAGTAGTGGTGCCGGTGGAAACGTTACCTTCAGAATCTGTAGTGGTGAAAGTGGAAACTTCTAACGATTCCTCAGAAGATCTGGAGGTGTGCTCAACTGGGTAAGTAGTGGTGCCAGTGAACACATTACCTTCAGAGTCTGTAGTGGTGAAAGTGGAAACTTCCAATGATTCCTCAGAAGATTTGGAGGTGTGTTCAATTGGGTAAGTGGTGGTGCCTGTGGAAACGTTACCTTCAGAATTTGTAGTGGTGAAAGTGGAAATTTCTAACGATTCCTCAGAAGATCTGGAGGTGTGTTCAACTGGGTAAGTGGTGGTGCCGGTGGAAACGTTACCTTCAGAGTCTGTAGTGGTGAAAGTGGAAACTTCCAATGATTCCTCAGAAGATCTGGAGGTGTGTTCAACTGGGTAAGTAGTGGTACCGGTGGAAACGTTACCTTCAGAGTCTGTAGTGGTGAAAGTGGAAACTTCTAACGATTCCTCAGAAGTAGAAGAAGCAGCAGCGGCAGCTGGAGAATCTTCCTTATTTTCAAAACTCAATGACATTTAAGAAATCGAAAGATGAATATACCAGGGACAATGTATAAATCAAAACCAGATAAAACAAAGGTTGATTCAACTAAAATGAAATATAATGAATCAAATCAAAAAGGGACAATAACAACAAAAAAAAAATAGAATAAAGAATCAAAAGTTACCTTTTTTTATATATCTAAATCTTCTTCTTCTTTCTTCTAAATTATCTATTTGAGGGGGGAATTGGACAATCTTAAGTGTACGAATACCTTTTCTTTAAACCAATACAAAAGATAGGATTGAATAAACTAAACAACTATATCTTTTCAGAAAAGTTATATCTCTATTGAGCCTAAAATAATCAAATAAAATATGCTTCCACAAGCAGTAGATCTAATGACGTTGAACGCAGCAGAATTGGGGAACCCCTGTGAAAAAGAACAGACCACAAGTAAACAAGGAAATGTTCGTTACAGTTATAAACTCAATAAATAACCTAAAAAACCTGTTAATAATACG